TTTAATAACGAAATAATTTATTTTTGGTTTAATAATATAACATTTTATAAAGATAATAATTAAGTATTATGTTAGAACTCAATGAATATCCTAATTATATTTTATATTTAAAATGATATGTTTATCCTGTATTTGATTATGTTTATCTGCAGTTAGTTACACGAATTCAAATATGGAGCTTTAATAAGTTGTACTTACGCACAATCTACTTGTAATCTTGAGTTTTAAGTAATATGCATTAATAAACAGTATTTTACGCATAAAAAGTAGTTTTTAAGAGTTTTTATCAAATGCTTTATAATATAGTATAGATACTTAATGCTTTAATAGTTGTATCATTGAAAAACTAAGTGTTTTTAAGAACACAAACACTAATGCATTATAATATAGTATAGATATCTAGCAGTAGCACACTAACAGCCATATAATGAAGGAATAACCACATACAATTCTAACTATAGCACTGTCTATTATTGACTGCTACTTTCCAAAATCAGTTCACATTGTGCTGGGTAAGTTATTGACTGTATTGCATTGAAAAATTCTATTGGCAGGTTCTTTTCACCAACAATCAATCAGCTGACTTCGAGAGGCCATAACATGCACATATTGTGCATGTCAACTGGTAATATGTTGTAGAAATAGAAAATTTAGTTGTTGGTTTGTTGCATGCATGCTTGCTAACTTCTCAATTTTAGTTTTTTTTTCTTGACATTACATAGAGTGAGTTTTAGTTGCAAGTTAAACAACATCTATGCCCCAATTAATTTCTGAGTTGTCTATAAATGGAGCTTGCATTGCATGTTCTTTCTAAATAATAAGGCCGAGCATATTTTGTCAGTTCCTTGCAAGATTTATCTAACTTCTCTTTACAAATAGGAATAGATGCATTTAGATGTTTTTACATGGAATATAAGATAAGCAATTAAGTTGGGATATAAAAGTGATCTTAAGTAGTCATCAAGTATACAGGTAATCAGGATGCCATTTGACGGGGGACTAGCATACAACTCAACGAATGGACATCCGCCTAGGGGTGTCAATGTGTTGGGTTCGGGTTCGGGTTCAACCCATTTATTAAACAGGTTGAAAACTACAACCCAACCCAACCCATTTGATTAAATGGGTTGAGATTTTCAACCCAACCCAACCTGTTACCTAAATGGGTTGACAACGGGTTGACTTGTTTATGATTTTCTCAACCCAACTTGTTCAATAAATGGGTTGAACCAGGGTTGACCCATTTAATTTTAAAATTTAAAATAAACAAATAGGATTAGACTATTTAATTTTATGAATAAAATAAAACCACAAATACAAATAAATTGTTCAAAGTTTGAATAAAAGACAACCACAACAAATACATTGTTCAAAATAAATTGAAAACCTTTAATTTCTAAGTAACTCGACTTCCCCCTTCACCAACTCCAATTTCACTCTCGTTATTACTTTCCTCTTGATCCTTTATCTTCTCTGTCATGATTGCTCCACATAGTGCCTCAAGATGCGATTCTATTTGTGGTACAAAAATAAATAAATTAATTAACTTAGTTATAGCAAATACATGGTTTTTATATAATACGAAATATACAAATAAGAAGTTAGAACAAACCTTCTCCATATACCCAATCTCTTAGACAAAAAAGAGAATGAATAAAGAAAACAATCAAAATCTGTGTGTTGGACGAGAGACTGGAACAATGGGAAGACTGGAACAATGAGAAAACTTACCAGTTACTATTTGAGATTAAGACTGGAACAATGAGAAGAAATCAGTGAGTTCCACCGATTTCGTACAGCCGCACCAATCAAAATATGTGTGTTCGATGAGAGAGAGACGAGAGGCGGAGACTGGAGAGGGAGACTATTGACTGTTATGTTGGTCTGTTAGAGCCTTGGAGGCGGACGAGAGAGAGCCAAGAGGGAGAGTTGGAGGCGGACAAGTAGATTATTACTTTATTAGGGTTTCAATGTTTCATAGATATATTAGATATTGTAATAAAAATAAAATAAAATTATAGAATATTTTAAATGGGTTTTTTTTAATTAACCTGGATATCCAACCCGCTATGCGAGCCGACTAATCCCAGGGCGACCACCTGCTTTGCAGATAGCCTGGAGTCACCGCATTTGAACCTCCGTGGCCACAAGGGGATTTTTATTCCTCCTTGGATTTGAACCTGGGACCTCCTGATACTTTTGACATTTGGAGCCAAGCTCAAACCAATCAGGCGCCACCCTTGTGGTTAAAAAATTTCAACCCAACCCAAGGGTTTGGTGATCAAAGCCCACTAGAGTTGGGTATAGTTTTCATCCCATGTAAGGTCGTTGTTATATGGGTTGCCATGTACCATATATATGATGTCGTATGCTGTTAACTGGTTTGCAGGCAACGCAGATGGTATTGGAGATGTTAGAAAAGAAGAGCTTTATAGGGCCTCTGCAATTCTTAAGGTGATATATTATGTTACACAACATGGAGGTGCATAATCTGCTTGTATATTATCATTACCTAACAGTATGAACCTTCTTTTATTGTTTGAATTAGTGTTCTATGTTTTCTTCTGCGTAATTAACTTCTGTCCACGACAATAAGCAATAAGAGTAAAAATGAACTTCTTTCATTGTTTTTCACCACCCAAATAGGTAATTGGATACTCAGCAGAACACAAGGGAGAAATAGAATTAAGATTGCTCTAAATACACTCTCTTCAAATATAACCTCTGCTGCATGAAAAGAAAACAGACGACATGAGTGTTGAGGGATAATAATTGATGATGAAGAACTTGGTCTGTCGTTATCGTTAGGTTTTTTATCAAGCTTATTGGCCTCTCAGAGTAGTTTATTATGTTAAATTCATGTACTTGATAAGAATGCTATAGTACTGAACTGTTTATTCCCTCCTCTCTTGAAATATGTTTGTGCGGTGTAGTATACTTTTACATAGGAATTGGTTGTTCTATGTGAGTCAGTTACAGATGAAATAGCGAAAAAGACTGTTGTCTTTTTCTTTCCACTCTTTCTCTTGTGGTCTTTTCTTGGTTTTGTTGGGGTAGCCCGGTAGGTTAGGCAAGATACCTGTAGCATGAAGATGAAATGTTACCCATCCTTGAAGTTGCCAACATATTTTTGGGTAACCTATCCTTTCTAACACACACAAATTGCAAGTGAGTCAAGAAGTGAAGATGTGGGGCACAATAATATCCCTTTAAAGATTTTCTGATTTGATAATTTTGAGATGCTTACCAACAACTTACTATGCTATTTTGATGACTGAGAATCTTACCCAGTAATGTAAGTGAGGGTGGTGACGCTTACTCGGTTAGCATCGGTAAACGGCCCCTTAGTCAGATAATCTTCTATTAAAGGAATGGAATGTAGTCAATGATTTCCATTCTTAAGATGGTGTAAATTGTAAAGGAAGCCTTATAGATTAGATCATCCTATTTGTCTACCTTATCACCTCTCATGAGATACAAGTATACTCCATATCCAACTTGTTACTAACCATACATATCCATTTGCTTTCGTGAACTTTAGCAAAAACTTCATCTAAGTGCACTTGTTTGTCATCTATGACAATTACTTGATCATACAGGTTCCTCTTCAACAAGTAACAGTATTGGATCATCCAGACTTTCAGGTTTATTCCTTTGCCTCCAAAAAAAATCCTAATATGTTGTTTAGTCCATGTCTATGAACAATATCTATTTGTATGTTTTTCGCCAGGATGGTTTTGGAAAAGTATGGAATAGTACTGTACTATCAAATATTGTGGAAAAGAAAGTGCTTGATCATGCAATCGACTTGGTAAGTTCTGATCTCCCATATTGGGCATGCTTTGCATTTAAATAAATTAAACCACATAAAGTTTATAAACCCGTGAGACCCGGTTAAAAATTTATTCTTTTGCATGATTTTTTCCATCAAATGTTAGAATTTAAGATATTGTTTCATGTATTTCATATATATTTGTTTCATAATATGTAATTTTCACATGCATTTGTTTCACATTGTGAAACTTCATTTTCCTGTATTTTTCGTTTCACTAAGTAAACCAAAAAAAAGTTTCACTTGGATTTTTTTCACCATATGAACACAAACATATGTGAAACAATAGCTAAAATAATAGTCTTTGATGAAAAAAAATCATGTAAAAAATATTCTTAT